GTGGCTTTTATGATCTCGATGTATTATCTTTCTATCCCTACTTTCTTGAGGGTTTTTATCAAGATAGGATGTTGTATTTTGTCAAATGCTTTCTTTGCATCTATTGAGAGGATCATGTGGTTCTTGTCGTTTCTTTTCTTGATGTGACGAATCACATTGATTGTGCATATTGAATGAGCCCTGCATCCCAGGTATAAATCCCACTTGGTCGTGGTTAATAATTTTTTAGTGTATTGTTGGATCTGGTTAGCTAATATCTTGTTGAGGATTTTTGCATACATGTTCATCAGGGAAATTGGTCTATAATTCTCCTTTTCAGTGGGGGTCTTTGTCTGGTTTTTGGAATCAACATAATGCTGGCTTCATAGAAAGAGTTTGGAAACTTTCCTTCCATTTCTATTTTTTGAAACAGCTTCAAGAGAATAGGTGTTAACTCTACCTTAAATGTTTGTTAGAATTTCCCTGGAAAGCCATCTGGCCCTAGACTCTTGTTTTTGGGGAGATGTTTGATTACTAATTCGATTTCTTTACTGGTAATGGGTGTGTTCAAATTTTCTATTTCTTCCTGTTTCAGTTTTGGTAGTTTATATATTTCTAGGAATTTGTCCATTTCTTCCAGATTGTCCATTTTATTGGTGTATGATTGCTCATCATATTCTCTTATTATTGTGTGTATTTCTGCTGTGTTGGTTATAATCTCTCCTGTTTCGTTCTTGATTTTATTTATTTGGGTCCTTTCCTTTTTCTTTTTGATCAAACTAGCTAGTGGTTTATCAATTTTGTTAATTCTTTCAAAGAACCAGCTCCTGCTTTCATTGATCTGTTCCACTGTTTTTTTTTTGGTTTCAATAGCATTGATTTCTGCTCTTATCTTTATTATTTCCTGTCTTCTGCTAGTTTTGGGTTTTATTTGCTGTTCTTTTTCTGGCTCTTCAAGGTGTAAAGTTAGGTTATGTATCCGAGACCTTTCTTCCTTTTTTAGGATGGCATGGATTGCTATTTACTTCCCTCTTATGACTGCCTTTGCTGCCTCCTAGAGGTTTTGAGCTGTGGTATTATCATTCCATTAGCTTCCATGTATTTTTTAATTTCTGTTTTAACTTCTTAGTTAGCCCATTCATTGTTTAGTAGAATGTTCTTTAGTCTCCAAGTATTTGTTACATTTCCAAAATTTTTGTTGTGGATTTTGAGTTTCACAGTGTTGTGGTCTGAAAATATGCATGGTATGATCTCAATCTTTTTGTACTTATTGAGGGCTGATTTGTGTCCCAGTATGTGATCTATTCTGAGAAGAATGTTCCATGTGCACTGGAGAAGAGTATATTCTGCTGATTTAGGATGAAATGTTCTGAATATATCTGTTAAGTCCATCTGGTCCAGTGTGTCACTCAAAGCCATGGTTTCCTTGTCGATTTTCTGTTTAGATGATCTGTGCATTGCTGTAAGTGGGCTGTTGAAGTCTCCTACTATTATGGTATTATCAATGAGTTTCTTTATGTTTGTGATAACTGATTTATATATTTGGGTGCTGCCACATTTGGAGCATAAATGTTTAAAATTGTTAGGTCTTCTTGGTGGATAGACCCCTTCATTATGATCTAATGCCCTTCTTCATCTCTTGTTACAGTCTTTATTTTAAAGTCTATATTGTCTGATAGAAGTATGGCTACTCTGGCTTTCTGTTGTGGACCATTAGCATGATAGATGGTTCTCCATCCCCTTACTTTCAATCTGAAGGTGTCTTGTGGTCTAACATGGGTCTCTTGTAAACAGCATATAGATGGATCATGTTTTCTTATCCATTCTGTTACCTATGTGTTTGGATTAGAGCATTCAGTCCATTGATGTTTAGAGAGAGTATTGAAAGATACAAATTTATTGCCATTATGTTGCTTATAGAGTGGAGTTTCTCGGGGGTGTTCTCCAGTCCTTTCTAGTCTTTGTTCCTTTTGCCCCCCCACCCCACCCCCCGTCTTTTCTCCCTTCAGAGTCTCCCTTAAATTTCTTGCAGGGCTGGTTTAGTGGTCACGAACTCCTTTAATTTTTGTTTGTCTGGGAAACTTTTTATCTCTCTTATTTTGAATGACAGCCTTGCTGGATAAAGAATTCTCGGCTGCATATTTTTCTGATTCAGCACATTCAATATATCCTGCCACTCCTTTCTGGCCTGCCACATTTCTGTGGATAGGTCTGCTGCAAACCTGATCAGTCTTCCCTTGTAGGTTAAGGACTTTTTTTTTCCCCTTGCTGCTTTCATGATTCTTTCCTTGCCTAAGTATTTTGTGAATTTGACTATGATATGCCTTGTTGATGGTCGGTTTTTGTTGAATCTTGTGGGAGTCCTCTGTGCTTCCTGGATTTTGATGTCTGTGTCTTTCCCCAAGTAAGGAAGGTTTTCCACTATGATTTGCTCACATAACCCTCTACCGCTTTTTCTCTCTTTTCATCTTCTGGGACCCCTGTGATTCTGATGGTGTTCCTTTTTTTAAATTTTTTAAAATGTTTTATTTATTTCTGAGAGAGAGAGACAGCCTGAGCTGGGGAGGGTCAGAGAGAGAGGGAGACACAGAATCCGAAACAGACTCCAGGCTCTGAGCTAGCTGTCAGCACAGAGCCCAATGTAAGGCTCGAACCCACCAACCGTGTGATCATGACCTGAGCTAAAGTCAGATGCTCAACCGACTGAGCCACCCAGGTGCCCTTGATGGTGTTCCTTTTTAATGAGTTACTGATTATTAAATCATGTTCTTTTGCCTTAGTCTCCCTGTTTTTTTCTGCTTCATTATTCTCCATAAGTTAGTCTATATTGCTGATTCACTGCTCTGCTTCCCTTGCTGACGTGGCATCCATTCAAGATTGCAGCTCAGTTATAGCTGTTTTATTTCATCCTGACTAGTTTTTACTTCTTTCATCTGCACAGGAAGGGATTGTAATCTATTTTCAACCCCAGCTAATATTCTTATTATCATGATTCTAAATTCTGGTTCAAACATCTTGCTTGTATCTGTGTTAAGTTCCTGGCTGTCATTTCTTCCTGCTCTTTCTTTTGGGTTGAATTCCTTTGTTTCATCATTTTGAAGGAAGAAAAGGAATTAATGAGGTAAAAAAAAAATCAAAATTAAAAAAATAAAAACAACACACACACACACACACACACACACACACAAATCAAATCATGCTAGATCCTAGGTGTGTTTTGGTCTGGTGTTGAAAAGAGCTTGAGAGAAAAAAAAGGACAAAAAGAAAATTTTGAAAATTTGAAAAAATGAATAACATGAAATAGAATAAAATGAGATGATGGAAATAAAAGAGAAGTTCAAATATTTACCAAAAAAGTTAAACAGTAGAAAAAATGTTTTAAATAATTGAAAATAAAAATAAATTTTTTCTTTCTGTATTCAAGAAAAAGAAACAAAAAAGGAAAAAATTTCGATATATGGACCAGCAAACAGACTGAAATATGATTGAAATTACATCATTTTCCCCTAGAAAGTCAAACTATTAAGCACTTTATATTGTGTAAACTAAGCAGGTGGAGAAACTTGTTTCTGAAAAGTGCGGTTGGCCCAGGTGGGTGGATCTTAGTGTAACAGCTCCATTCTCCACTAGATGGCGCTGCTTAGCTTACTGGGGTCGATTGTTGTAGAGCGTGTAGGTGTGTATGCGCATGCGCGGGAGGGTGGAAATGGCGTCACCCAGTTGCCCAGTGTCTCCTGTGGTAATTCTCTTCTCCCGGGTTGGCAATCTGCACCCCTCCTTTGTTTCTGGCCTCAGTCCACTCCCTGCTTTTACACGGTCTGTGACCAAGCCATCAGGTTGCCAGGCAGCAACTCCCTCCAGAGTTTTATCCCAGATACAGCTGTTTCCCGACCCCTCGCTTCTGCGGAACTGTGGCTTTGACCCGTTTCGCCTCTGTGCGGGAGAGTCTCACCATGTTCGGGCAGCACCCAGGAACGTTCACAGAACTGTGCTGCTGTTGATACCCAGAGACTGCAGCTGGGTGCCAGCCCGCCCCAGGAAAAGTTCATGCGATTGCGTAGCAGCAGTGTTTCGGGGATTATGGAAAATCACAACACACATCTGGCACCGGGCTTCACCCTTCAGGACCTTGTTCCAGCACCAGTGAATGTGGTTGTTCTCTGGGGTCTGCTGTGATGTTTGCCTATGGGGGCCACACAGCCTCTACCCAGAGTCATCCCAGCAGGGCAACCGCCTCTCCTGGTGTGGCCCAAGGACCTCTGGACTTCACTCTGCTCCTGGGGATTCGCCCTTCTCAACAGAGCACTGCCAGGTATCAGGCTCCAGTTTCAGACTCTGTGATCCCCCTGTTTATAGAGTTTTAATGGAGCTTAAACTCACCTTTCTCCTTTCTCCCTTTTTAGTTCAGTCCCTGTGGCTGTTTACACTTTTCCACTTTCTCTCCAGCTGCTTTTGGGGAGGAGGGTGCTTTCCTGGTACTCTCCCCTGGTCTCTGTCCTCTCTCTGCAAGCAAAAACAGCTCCCTGTCCTCCGCGGCTTCTTTCTCCCCCAGTTCACCTCTCCATGCCTCATACCTGCTGAGTTCTGTGGTTCAGGTTGTGCAGATTGTTGTGTTAATCCTCAAATCAGTTTTCTAGGTGTGCAGGATGGTTTAGTGTTGATTTGGCTGTACTTCATGGACCTGATACACACGCATTAAAAACTTCCATGCTCTTCTGCTATCTTGGCTCCTCCCCCCCATACATCCAAATATTAACTGGGGCTTTCTCAGGAGTCAGGGGGAAGAGGACAAAGAAACTAAACAAAGATAATTAGGGAAAAGCAATTTTATTATTGGAATGGAAATAGAAAAAGCATTCTAAGAATTTAAAAAGCAGTAGTTGGCCAACAGTGGATCTTCTCTTGAATCCATAATCTCATGATTTCAGTCTGTCCCTCAGTGATGCCTGCTTATTTCTTATTCCCAGAAGTCACAGCCCCAACTTCCTCTCACTGATGAAGTCCTCTCCTATCACTTCCTCTCAGTAATAAAGTCCTCTCACTCTAGCAGTTGCCCCTACACTCTCATATTCTGCCGTCTCTTTGGCTTCTCCCCAACTTCCTGGGCTGATTTCTTCCCATATAGCATCTTTTCCACATGTTGCCGGATCTCCATGGTTCGCACACCATAAATGACCGGATTCAAGGCTCCGGGGAGCAGCAAGTAGATGGCACTGAGCAGGTTCTGGACATCCTGAGACACAGTCTTGGCCACTCGGAAGACAATGGAGGTGGAGAGACCAGAGAGGTAGATAGTGAGGATGACCAATAAGTGGGAGCCACATGTGTGCAAGGCCTTGGCTCGGGCTCACTTGGAAGAGATCCGGAAGGCAGCATAGATGATGCGGGTGTAGGAGGTCCCTAGCAGGGCTAGATCAAAGATCACAGTGACCAACCGCATGGCCAGTCCTAACCTATTGTTAAAAGTCAAGTCTCCACAAGCTATGCTCAGCAGTGCAATGTACTCACAGGCAAAGTGTCGAATCACCATTGTCTGACAAAATCGAGCTCGTGACGTTAGCACCACCAAAGGCACTGCCACTCCCAGGCTCCGTGTCAGGGCCAGAATGGCCAGGACATGGAGCAGGCGGGAAGTCATCAGATCAGTATAGCGGAGTGGGTGATAGATGGCTACATAGCGGTCTAGGGCCATGGCCAGCAGGATATTGTAGTCCAGAAGGAGAGTGAAGTAGATAAAGAACATCTGGGCCAGGCAGCCACGCAGTGACATGGGGTTAGTATAATGCACAAAGCCCTCCAGCATTTTGGGCATCACGGCTGTGGCAGCACAAATGTTGACAGCCAGGAGCAGGGCGATGAGCATGTACATGGGCTGATGCAGGCTCCGCTGGGCCATCACCGTGTGGATGACCAGGGCATTGGCAGAGATGATCATCACATAAAGGAAGGTAAGAGGCAGGAGCAGGAGGGGCCGCCACTCTCGCAATCCAGGGAAGCCCACCAGGAAGAAGTTGGTGTAGGAGATGTTGAAGGCACTCGTATCTCCATCATCACCCGTTAGCTTTGGCCTTGGGTTGGCCCCAGGAGTGGGGATCAGAGACTGTTAGGACAAAATGGTCAATGGAAGAAAGCCTATTTCTATTTTAGGGCCTGAGAGGTTTGTGATGAGGGTCCACCTCTTCATGTACATATGTCTATTACTTTGGGGCACAGAAGGTGGTATGCCAGGTGTTACAGAAGCTACAGAGGTGAACAGACATTCCTTGTCCTCAGGGAGCTCTTTGCCTTTGCGTGTGAAATGTAACCTTACAAGATCCTTGTTTATCATGATGTTCCAGGTATTTAATTGCTGAGCAAGAGATTAGGAGGAAAAGTAGGTGTGGTACATGAGGGAAAAGAAAATGTAATGGGGGGGCTGGGGGACTCAGTCAGTTAAATATCTGACTTCAGCCCAGGTCTGTGGGTTTGAGTCCTGGGTCAGCTCTCAGTGCAGAGCCTGGAGCCTGCCTCTGATTCTGTCTCCCTCTCTCTGAATCTCCCCTGCACTCTCTCTCTCTCTCTCTCTCTCTCTCAAAAATAAATAAACATTAAAAAAAGTAAAAAAGTGATGGGCCAGAGGTAAAACTATAAAGCACGAAGAAAACCTTTGAAAGGAGGAAAAGAAAGTATATGAGGAATTTGTGGTCCAAGAAGCCTGGAAGAACCAGGTGGAGTTCTTCGCTTTTGTGCCCGGGTGCACTGTGGCAAGGCCAGGTGAAAGTTGCTGGATCTCAGACAACAGGGACTCTTGCCTTCCTAAGCCTCTATAGACTGACTCTGGGGCCTCCTGCCTGGCCTTGTCCTCAGCGTCATGGATGAGGATTTTGCTTTCCTCTAAGAATGTAAGCTCCCAGACAGCAGGGTAAAGCGTTCTTCCCGCATGTTCCTGGAGCTACAAGTGCAGATCCCCCCACCCCCACCCCCGCCCAGGCATCAAGGAGGTCTCAAGCACTGCTTGTTGAGCAGGCCAAGGAGGAACAGGAAGAAGATGGGAGGAGGCTGAACATTTAGTTGAGCTCTGAGAGCAGTAATTTCAAAGTTTTGACCAAATTTTTGTGTAATTAAGGAAGCAGATAGGAAAAGGTCCAGAGTGTTAGAGTTTGAACTAACACAGATTACATGAAAATAGCTAACACCTAAAGGACATTTACCATATGGCAGGCAGTGTTTTCAATCCTTTCATGGATTCACTTTGTAAAATCTTGATTGTGCCAGTGAAGAAGTAAGGCACAGAAAGATTAAGTCTAGTTCCAGGTCACACAGCTAGTAAATGGCAGAGCTGAATTTGATGCCAGGCAGTCAGACCTTTAGGATGACTGACTGTTCCCTGCCCAGCTTGCCCGAGACTTCCCTGGAGTTCGCACTGAATATCTGGTGTCCCAGGACACCTTTTGGGCAGATCACTCCACTCTTACTACTAATAACGTTGAAGATTAGAGAAGCCTTATTGATGTGGAGCAGCTAGGAGATAGTCTTCCTTTTTAATCAATGTATTGTCTCTGAAAACCACGTTTATGTGAGTGTTGCTATAACCACCTTCTGAATACTCAGAAGAATAAAGAGGCATGGCTGTAAATTCACAGGGAGACTTTCAAAGGAACTAGCTTTGGAATTCCAACGCCCAGCATGGGAGATCTTTTGGAAAATCTTAGAGCATTATTTTATACAGAATAACCCGGACTTTGGGAAATGTACCATTAGTGGGGTTGGGCAAGGGCCAGATGACATCGTGGGAGGGGGTAAAGATCCTTAGAGTGGGGGACTTTCATAGCGGGAGGGTGGGGTTGAGAAGCTGAGAATGAGGTGAGAGGCAGTCCATGATAGGACAGAGGGCAAGGAAGAAGTGCAAGCTAGAGGAGCGCTGGCCAAGAAGGTGTTTAAGGACCCAAGCTTCTTCCCAAATACCAGAGAGTGTTCATCGTTAAGAAGCTTAACGAGCTGTCACGTGAACTGTAATTTGCCCTTCTGTTTTGTATTTTAGGATTACTCAAGGAGCTCCTAGACCCTAAAGCAGTCAAGAAAGGAAATGTAGAATACCAACCTCCTCAAGGAGGAGCAGAAGGGATGAAAAATACCGTAAGGGACGAGCAGATCCGTTAACTCGCTGGTGAAAGTCTGGAGAGAGATGAAGAGATGTTGCTAGAGTCACATCAGTCAGACTTAGGAACCAACTGGAAGTGGGGAAGAGGAATGGACAGTAATTTCAGGGTTTTTGTTGGTAGCCATGATGACTGCACTGGTGCTCCTAAAAGTTGAGAAAGAGGGAGCAGGGTTGGGGTGGTCGGAGGTCCAATTCATTAATCACACTTGGATGTGGTGAGGGCTCCCAGATGAAGAGTTGCCCAGTCAACAACCGGAAGTCAGATGGAGAGCTCAGACCCTGAAGGATTAAGGCTGGAGATGACTATGTGAGGATTAGAAATTTATGGAGGGCATGAGACAGAATCCTAAGGAGCAGATGGCAGTTGAAGGAGACTGAGGAAAAGAGGGGAGAGAGGTAGTCAGAGCCAGGAGCGAATGGAGTTCTGGAAACCAGAGGACAGGCTTGGTTGCTCTGGAGGCTTCAAGGTAAAGGGATTTACAGACTGAGCAGAGGCAAAAGACCAACCGAGCCAACTCGCCCTACAAGTAGCAGAGGAGGGGGACAGAGAATGAAGAGGCCAGAGCCATGTGCTCTCTGTAGAAAGAGGCTCACCTCCTCCACTGGAAAAGTCAAAACCACACACATAACTTCTTTAACTCCACCTTGTCCTCACAGACTGGCAACAATGTTCGTCTCTTTTCCTTCAGTTCCTGGGGAGAGATGTCTCTTCTCTCTTTTGTCCTTAGGACATATTGTACTTCTCCCCCCCTCCTCCCTCAGCCTATGAAAAATTTCATCTCTGTCAGGAGAAAATAAACTCTACCTTAACTTCCTATAACCCTCTAGTTTTTCATCTTTCTCCTCATATTTATTTGTTTGTTTGTTTAAAGTTTATTCATTTATTTTGAGAGAGAGTGCAAACAGGGGAGAGGCAGAGAGAGAGGGAGAGAGAGAATCCCAAGCAGACTCTGCACCATCAGCGTGACCCTGACTTGGGGTTCAAACTCACGAACCATGAGATCATGACCTGAGATGAAATCAAAAGTCAAGTGCTTAACAGACTAAGCCACCTAGGTACCCCTCTCTCCTCATCGTCAAAGCAAAGACCTGGATGTATCTTTATTGTGCATAATCGCTGGTTTGCTGATTGAGCTCCCTGCTAGATGGACAGTCTTGTCAGCAGGGAGACCATGGCCTTTTCATCTCTGTCCCAGTGCCCAACCCAATATCTGCTCAATAAGTGTTGTGTTGAAGGAATAAATGCATGCACAAAGAGATTTTAAGAAACATTCTCATTTGCAACCTAGAGCAGCCCTTGAAAGTGGAATGAATAAGGATGGGAGGAAAATTGAAACCCATTAAGGCTCAGAGATCCCAAGTGATTTGCTTAGTCTCAAATCTTATTTGATTAGTCTCACCTAACAAGAAGAGCCAGAACTGAAGTTCAGGACTTCTAGGATTCTTCCATCCACATCACAGTTTTCCCCCTGATCCCTCAACCCCCCTCCCCAAACACACACACAAGAGGAAACAACGGACAGACTCCAAACATTCTTAGTCTCAGCAGTAATATTAAGAGTTAGCATTTATTGAGCACTTACTACATGCCACACATGATTCCAAGGGTTTTTCCACATAGTAATGTAGTATTTCTTTAATGCTCACAGCAACCCTAAGAGGTGAATACTATTTATTAACCCTGCTTATAGGTGAGAACACTGAGGCTTAGAGAAGGTAGCTCATTTTCTTAAAGTCTCATAGATATTAAATGATAGGGCTGGGACATGAATGAACCTAGACTGTTGATGGTAATTGGTGGAGTTCAGATTCAATCTCAGGTTTTCCTGCCTCCAAATCCTCATCAAGCTCCTGTCTTCCCACCCCCAACCTCACCATGGAAGCCTGTAGTGGTGTCCTGTCGGGGCGCTGGCTGCTGTGGCTTTGGATTCACCTCTGAAAAGGTGAGGTTTCAAGGCACTGATCTATGAGGTTAAGGGGGAGAGATGGATAAGTAGACCTGTGGCTCCAGAGGAGGAGCCTGAGGAGATTCCCAGTGGGCTTTCATGTCCAAGGACACCAAGGAGAAAACAGTGAGAAATCCAGAACTCAGGGAGGACCCCAGGGAGAGATTGGGTGGAGGTGACAGTGTACTAACATTTTCATTTCTATGGCTCTTGGTGTTTCTCAGAGCGCAGTCACATCTGCTGACGAATTTATTTTACAGATGAGCCATTAGAGGCTTAGAGAGAACAAGTCAGGGTTCAGGTCAGATTCCATCCCGTGGGCACCAATAGGCAGAAGCTGGGTATTGCTGACTGGGATTACCTGAGGCTCAGAGGAGGAGAAGGGGCTCTTGCGATGTGGGGTTCAAGTGGGGGTTATATTGGCACTCAGGGATCGCCTAAAGGCGGGAAAGAGCACTTGGGTGACAATGGGAGAGCCAGGGACCTGATTTAGGAGTGGTGCATGTGTGCACATACACATAGAGATTGCTGAGGTTCCTACTTGCCCAGTGTGGGTGGCTCAGGGTCTGGGACAGGAGGTGACTTCAGTGTGGACTCTGCTGTGAATAGCCAAGACCCGCAGAAACGGAGGCTGATACCTCCAATACCAGGGAGGTATCACCGCTTTGTCTTCTAGTATTTGGAAATAGCAGAACTGCAAAGCTCTTCTTTTCCTCTTTCTCTGCTTTCTTTGGATTTAATATTTTTTTATGATTTGGTTCTATTTCTTTTTTAAAATATCTGTTTGTTTTTGAGAGAGAGAGAGTGCACACATGGGAGGGGGCAGAGAGATAGAGAGAATCTCAAACAGGCTCCATGCTCAGTGAGGAACCCTATGTGAGACTTGATCTCACAACCCTGAGATCATGACCTTAGGTGAAATCAAGAGTCAGACGCTTGACTGACTGAGCCACCAGGTGCCCTGATTCAATTCTACTTCTTAGCTTATTAGTTGTGCCTTATTTGTTGTGTCATTTTAGAAGTTGCTTTAACATTTATGATACATATTTTTAACTTACCACAGTCTATTTTAAATTGTGCCACTTCAACAAACAGCATGAGATCCTGACAGCAGGGTTCTTCTGTTTCCCCTCTCCCAGTATTTGTGTTACTGTGGTATGTTTTATTTCTACATAAATTATGAACTCCATAATACACTGTATATATTTTTGGCTTTACATAATCCATAATATCATAATGAGATTTAGAAAAATAAGAAAAAAATATTATGATTGAAAAATTCATTCGTGTTGCATGCTACTGTATTTCATTGTTTTTAATTTTTTTTAATGTTTATTTATTTTTAAGAGAGAGAGAGTGTGAACAAGGGAGGGGCAGAGAAAGAGGGAGACACAGAATCTGAAGCAGGCTCTAGGCTTTGAGCTGTGAGCACAGAGCCCAACGCAAGGCTTGAACTCACAAGCTGTGAGATCATGACCTGAGCTGAACTCAGACACTTAACCAACTGAGCCACCCAGGAACACCCTTTTTTTCTTTTTTACTTTTTTATTATTTATTTTTGAGAGATAGAAGGACAGAATGTGAGCAGGGGAAGGGCAGAGATCGAGAGGGAGACACAGAATTTATTATTTTAAAATTTATTTTTAAAAAATTTATTTATTTAAAATTTTTTCATCGGATAAAGGTATCCTTTAATCCCCATCACCTATTTCACCCACACCCCTACCCATCTCCCCATTGGTAACATCAGTTTGTTCTCTATAGGTAAGAGTCTGTTTCCTTGTTTTTTTATCTTTTTGTTTTTTGTTTGTTCGTTTCCTAAATTCCGCATATGAGTGAGATCATATGTTTTTTTTCTTTCCCTGACTGACTTATTTCACTTAGTAAAATACACTCTAGCTCCATCTACGTTGTTGCAAATGGAAAGATTTCATTCTTTTTTATGGCTGAGTAATATTCCATTGCATATTTATACCACAATTTCTTTATCCATTCATCAATCGATGGACATTTGGGCTGCTTCCATAGTTTGACTATTGTAAATAACACTGCAATAAATAAAGGGTGCGTGTATCCCTTTGAATTAGTGCTTTTGTATTTTTGGGGTAATATCAAGTACTGTGATTACTGGATCATAGGATATTTTTTAACTGTTTGAGGAATTGCCATGCTATTTTCCACAGTGTCTGCACCAATTTACATCCCAACACTGTGCACGAGGGTTCCTCTTTCTCCACATTCTCACCAAAACTTGTTGTTTCTTGTATTTTTGATTTTAGCCATTCTGACAGGTGTGAAGTGATATCTCATTGTAGCTTGATTTGCATTTCCCTGATGATAAGAGATAATGAATACCTGTTCATGTGTCTCTATTGGCCATCTATATGTCTTCTTTGGAGAAATCTCTGTTCATGTCTTCCATCCATTTTTAAATTGGATTATTTGTTTTTTGAGTGTTGAGTTGTATCAGTTTTTTATGTATTTTATTTTCTTAAATAGTTTATTGTCAAGTTGGTTTCCATATAACAACCGGTGCTCATCCCAACAAGTGCCCTCCCCCATGCCCATCACCCCCTTCCCCTTTCCCCCACTCCCATTAGTACTCAGTTTGTTCTCAGCATTCAAGAGTCTCTCACGGTTTGCCTTCCTCCCTTTCCCCAATGATTTTTCCCCTTTCTTCTCCTTCATGGTCCTCCGTTAGCTTCCTCCTAATCCACCTATATGTGCAAACATATGGTATCTGTCCTCTGCCTGACTTATTTCACTCAGCATAACACCCTCTAGTTCCATCCATGTTGCAACACATAGCCAGATTTCATTCTTTCTCACTGCCATGTAGTATTCCATTGTATAAATATACCACATCTTCTTGATCCATTTATCAGTTGATGGACACTTAGGTTCTTTCATGTTTTGGCTATTGTTGAGAGTGCTGCTATGAACATTGGCATACATGTGCCTCTATGCATCAGCACTCCTGTATCCCTTGGGTAAATTCCTAGCAGTGCTACTGCTGGGTCATAGGGGAGTTCTATTATTAATTTTTTGAGGAACCTTATACTGTTTTTAGAGCGGTTGCACCAGGTTACACTCCCACCAACAGTGTAGGAGGGTGCCCATTTCT